ATTTAGTCCAGATAGTAAAACAAATGTTAGACATTAACTCACAGTATAAATTAAGTAAGTAGATTTATTTATTTGTATTATTAGAAATCATCGAATCTAACGACGAAGAAACACTTTTTTTGGTAGAAAGCAATAACGTAATAGGTAGCAAAAAAAAAAGTGAAAATAACCAAATCGATTCTGTTGCATGGAATAAAGACTGCAATTTCTACAAATGTAAATTTATCCACGACGCAAAAGTCTATTATAAAGTAGTCAACAACAAAGCAGAAGTATATGGAATGTCAATTGTTGGAGCTGCAAACACAGAAACGGCAAGAAAAATTGCTGTCTACGCGTTAAACGAGTTTATGCAGTGCAAACTTGATTTAATAAGTAATAATAAAGCTCCAGTCCCCAGAAAAACTTTAGCGGATTTGTTATCTTTATTATTGAAAGAAAATATTTGTAATGAAACGCAGAAAACGCAATTGATGCAACTTCTTTACAAATTCTTTCAGTCCAAGCTAGACATTCAGAGGTTATATGGCTGCATTGCTGGTATTATAGGTTACAGCACATTACGCAAACTACTCGCGGCTTTGGACGCTAGTGAATCTAATTTACCAAATGCTCCAAGCGACGAATTGCTTCCAACTTTAATAAGAATGGTCATGAAAGGTACTAAATGTTATAAACCCAACAATACTTCGCCTTTGCCAATTCCAGGATACTTATTCAATTCTGTTGAGGAAAACAAGATCTTTTTCTTACATCACTCTAACTCCGAATTGGTGGACGTTTCTATTTCCCATCAACAGATTTTATCGATAGAACTTAATCTCACTCGAAACCTGCATAGAATAGGTCATATTTCGCAACAAATAAGCCAGGATTTAAATATACATATAGGAGGAATTTTAGAAAATGCAGTTGACCCGTACCTTAACGGATGGGGGTATTTAACTTTCTGTGATTTCAAAGCTTTAAAATATTATTTTCAGGAGTTAACTGGAGAGTTGCCTTCGCGTGACACTTTTGGTCCAGCTTATGGCTATACGCCCGAATATAATTCAAACATTAATGTCGGGCATCTTTACTCTTTCTCAGGAGTAAATTCAGTCAGAGTTTTGACCCTACTACGTCAACAGCTGTCTAAATTGCCAGATAATATCATGTTTATTAACAAGTTTTATAAGCTTTCAACCAGAACTTTCTCTTGGACAAATCTATCCTCTCCATCGATGCCAGAACCAAGAGCATACGCAATTTCATCAACTGTTTTTTTAGACTGTGTAGCGGTAGGCTTTATTGTTTATGGTGGTTTAGGAGCCACAAAAACACAGGATCTTTGTTTATACAACGATTTGTGGTTCTATAACTTTGAGAAAAATTCGTGGAATAAGATTCATATGCAAAACTTGCCCGAAGTAGCCGCTGCTGCTTGTACTTGGTTGGACACTAGCTGTTTACTGGTGCACGGAGGATTTAATCACAACAGAGAATTTAATAACACATTAGGTATATTTGTTTTCGACTTTATTGAAGATCAACTTAATGTTTCCTATACTAAAGTCCCCGTTACAATACCAAAAAGTTTGTCACCACACTCTTTTTGTAGAGCACTACACACCATCATGCTTATTAAAGCTACGCCAGAAGAGTTTGGGTTTGTGAAACAGTCTTTCAACGTAATTAAAACTAACGAATATACCAGAGTTTTTTTGGTAGCAGTTGGAGGTATCGATAGCGCCGACGAAACAGAAAAAAGTCAAGACTCAAAAGGTCTCGAAAAAGGAGAGCAGTCTTCCGCAGATAAAAACGAAGATACTCCCATTAATGTAACTCAAAAATCTGAAAAAATTTGTAAACAGTATGTAGGATTGATTTTCTTCGAACTAACCATAGAAAACAATTCTATTATTAAAAGTGTTACAGCTTACAAGTTGATTACAGCAGTTCCGCGTTTGTTAGCTAGCAAACAAGACAAATATCTAGCTCGGTTATTGTGTACATTTGATCCAATCAATGTTCAAATAAAAAACACGTCTATTACTATGCCTGTCATATTATGTTCAGGAGGCTTAAGTTTATTATCTTCTAAATTCGTGCAAGTTGGCTTAAAGCCAAACAACGAAACCAAAAGTTTTATAATTACGTTTCACAATTCTGACGTATTCGATTTTATCCTGTACGGAAACCAGTTCTCTAATCAGTATTTATCAAAGATAAATAAAAAAACTTGTGAGAGCGTAACTGACGAGTTTGATCCCGAAATGGCTAAAATGTACTTAAACTGTGTGAAAGAATCTCGCTGGAACTTCACCAAGAACGTTATAACACCAGACATTTTCGGAATATTTAACACATTAGTAGTTTTTCCATTTACAGCGATAGGAAATTACATCAACAACTCTTGTGACCTACGTAATCGATGTACAAATTTCTGGATTGATTTATGTGTAGGTCCCTATGGAAAAATGTATTTGGCTATTACAGACAATGGACGTGGCATGAATTACAATGTTTTCAAAAAATACATTACGCAATTTGGCTTTTCCGACAGATCTGAGTCCTTAAACACGTTAGACTTTTCAAGATCAGGTACGTACGGTATCTCTTCCAAATTTTCTTATGCTAAACTTGCTCATTCCTTACTTGTTTGTACACGGACTTCCGATTTAATCAGTTTAGGGCTCATAAGTTCGCATTTCATGAATAGCATCGGCAGCAACCAATGCGCCGTCCCCACATTATATTGGAAACTACCCGACAAAACCTTAATTCACTCAGAATCCGAACATTTAACAAACCAAGAAACTATCACTCAATATTCTTATTTGAATTCAGCTCAAGAGCTCGCAGATTTTATTAATCTCACCCCTACTGCTTCGGGAACTCGAATCATGTTATTCGACATGAAAGAAACAAACGGCAGTTTTTTAGCGTTCGACCAAACAGATGGGCAAATTCGGCTGAGCCATTTTTGTGGAGAGCCTATTTACTTCAATTTAAATGTCAACAGTCAGCATTTGGAACATTCGTTTAGAAACGGATACGCGTTGCTCAAATCTAATATAGCCTTGTACAAAGTCAATTCGACCTTTCACTACTTGCTCAATACAAAAGCATTAGAAAAAAATTACACTTACGTCGAAGATACAGAAAACAAAAATAAAGAACCGGCTAACAAAAATTCGCCTAACTCTACGGCGAGTGAAATTACCGGACGCCCGAGAAAGCGGGCTCGCACAATTAAACAAGAGTTTCCAATGTTTACAAAAATACAGCCCAACACTTCTATTTCACTAATTAACCCGCATTTTCCATTCTACTGTCACCCAAGAGATTCAATTGATTTCAATTTAGCGACTTATATGTATTGTAGCCATCTCTTTAACCCGACAACCTTGTACTTATCGCGACTGACTTTAATTACAAAAGATTACACTCTACTAAAAAATAACGACATTACTTACAATAGCTTTTACAGGTTTTGTAAACGGAACCTTAACGGAGTGGCTGAATTAGAGTATTTGTTCAACCCGTCTGACGCGAATCGAAATGGTTTCGGATTGCTTGGGTTTGTCAATCCTATCAAGTTACTGACAGACAAATCTGCAACTAACAAATTTTGCGAGTTAGGAGTTTTGATCTTTTACAAGGAAAGACTTATTAAAAGAATGTTCGTGCCTTTTGCTTCGTCACCTTATGCTATGTATTCTTTCTCCAAGCCTCCATTTCCTGAAACACATTTCACTGGTTCTCCTATTTTTTATTTCCCATGCACAGCTTTGATAAGTAAGTTTATACTATCTTTCCAAATATTTTAGATTTGCCAGATCATTACTGTCCCAATGCAACATATGAAGATCTAGTTTGCCAAAGAACTCCAATTTACAACGAGTTAGATACTTGCAGTAAGTTAATTTTATGTATATTTATTTTAGTTCGTAAACTCATAGGCGACTACCTATTAGTAGTACGAGACAAAAAAAAATTCGACGCGTGGTTAGATAATCGCAATAAAATTTATTTAGAAAATATCAGTAAGCACGAACCGTTAAGTTCTTTATTACACTTATCACTATTAAAATAGTACATCGTACTTCTTGTAATTTTTTTACTCGAAAGTGTGATTTTACATTTTTTTTCTCATAAATAAAATCAAAAACTATTTTTGGTTCAATCACAGCATATTGACTCCAAAATAATTACTAATTATACCAAGCAAGAATAAAAAAATTTAATCAACATAATCATGTTGTTGATTAGTGTTATCTATTTGTATTTGTCAAATAATCTCTTCGCTTCAGGGTATGGAATTCAGTTAAGACCCATTACTTCCAAAAATGGTTTATCTCTATCAGCATCGAATACAGTAAATAATGTATGTTTCACATTATTTTCAATTATTAATAGTCAAACACAATAAATCCAACTATCGAAGGGGGTGGGCCTGACAAACGAATTCGTGAAATCGTAGATATGTCAAAAAAATGTAGACTATATCATTTTACAGATTATCATCCAAACTGTTATATCCAGGATACGAATACGTTATATGCATGGAGCGTAGGTTAATTCAATTGACACTTTCTAAATAGAATTCGATCACACAGCAGTTATATCCTTTAAACAATGTACATTTTCCAATAAGTGATGTTTTATTGAAAATATCAGTGTAAGATTAATGATTAATCTCTTTTTAGGATGTTAAACGCAGACGTTGGACTAGTAATAAGATCCTATCATGACGTCATTAAAATTTTTTTGACTACTATTCAGCAGCTTGTCGTTAAAAAAAACGATGTCGTAATTAATAACATGTATTTACCTAATGTTAGACCAGTCTTTATCCACGATTTATGTGTTAGTTACAATAAAAATCAGCATAAATTTACGATATATATTGATGACGTAAAATATTTAGAATTTTTACAGCCTATTTCCCATGAATCGCATGTTGATCTGTATTTTTCAAATGGATATACCATTTTTGAATTTTTATTTATTTGCAATTAGTTTCTTATAAAACTGTTTTTATGTGAATCTTTAGTTTGCACTAACATACTTGTCTCTTTAGCATTAAACACTTCTGATCCAGGCATGAATAAATCACCGTTGTACTGTTTTTTAATTTTCACATTTTGATTCAGCGGTTCATCGTTTTTTTTATATAACTCGGTAGCTAATTTTACTGAAGGCTTCGCATGGACAGTAATAAGATTTAAATTTTTAAATTTATTGCCTAACTCCATAAACAGGTGAATTAAGCCTTGTCCAAATCCCAAATTTCTTCCTGCTTTATCCAAAGGCCGAGTAATTTCAGGTCTATTTGTTAGTTTTGGTTCTGGAACAGATACTTTATTGGTTGGTGGAAATGAAAAATAGTCCCAATCAGATTTATTTGAAGCTAGACCAGAACTTATGTTTAGCTCGGAATGCTCCTCGTCTTCATTACTTAGGATCGGCAACTTTTTACCTTCATTTTTTAAAGCGACCATATTGTTGGACTGGACTTTTCCGCTTACACTAGACACCGAATTGTTAGTTATTGAATTTTCTGTATTAAAACTATGATGAGCATTAACGATCTTTTTGTTAATTGCATTCCGATTGAAATGATTACAATTTACGTTTTCGTTATACATGTTTTCTGAACGGTGATTAGCAGATGAATTAGTAAGTTTTCTTAATTTTTCTTTTCTTATATTCTTTTGTTTGTTAGTAAGTCGAGCCCATTTTTTAAAAGCAATATTAACATAAAACAAATTCCAGTGAGCGTCTAGATTATGAGTAATTTGGATTTTTCTCCTGTGGTAGAATAACCACTTTACAATGCAACATTTTAGTATTTGCGTTAAATGCGATTTTTTCACCATTTCATATGATTTCTTTTGTTTGCAAGCAAATTTTAGTATGTCTAGCATTGATTCTCCTAACCATAAATATATTTCTAAATTACTGAAATAAAAAGACCGTTTGTAATGTGTAATTTGATATAAAATTATTCGCCAAAGCAAGAAGTGATCATTTAATAGTTTTCTCTTAACTGCTTTTTCCAAAATAATGAATTTCTGATTTTGATCGTGATACTTTGTCCAAATGGAAAAACATTTGGTTACTCTTTTTTTATAGACTATATGTACAAGTTTGTTTACCCGCAGTACATACAGGAAATTTCTTTTGAAATCAATTTTTGCATGACGTAACTTTTTTATTCTGTCTTTTAAGTTCTCAATAGCTTTTGATTCATTTTTTAAGATATCTGAATGGTTAATCATACAAGGCAATAATGTTTTTTTTAACAAACATATTACAATTTCTTGAGCACAACTGGGATGTTTATATAATGGTTCGCGCTTATTGATAAACTTTTCAATCACAGGAATTAGACTCTTACATTTTTTTGAGTTATAAGTTTGGTATAATGCTCTGAAACCTACCGATAGGTAAAACTTTTCCAACAACTCTTGTGTTTGTAATAAACGTTTTTTCGATTCTTTTAGTTGGATGTATTTTAAATACCAATGATCAAAAGTTTTTTGATGAACTCGAAACCGTATATGAGTTGTTAATAACTGTTTTTTATTTTTAAGTACTTTTTGATAATACAATAATTTAGTAATGAACAATCTAAATAATCTCCGTTTGAGTTGTAATGTTATTATTCGTTCACATCTTTCTAAATGATCTAATAAAACAACGTATGTATAAATTATAGTGATGTGACAAGCACATCGACGAACAGTTAGATAATCTTGTAAGTATTTAATTAAACACTGACGTTCATTTTGAGTTTTCCACAGTGAAAAATATAACTTCAAATATTTATTTATTCGAAAATTATTAAGTGTTTTAATGTTCAATTTCTGTTTATAAACGTAACGTAACTTGAAATATGTTTGTTTTATAATGTAAGCGAAAAAATTTTCTGAAATAAGTATTTGATTATCTAGTTTTTGAATCGTATGTGTAATCCATACGTTCAAAAAATACAAAATTAAATTTGAATTAACTAGCCTCTGAAGTTTCTGAAACCTTGCATTTTCTTTAAAGTACCTGTTTCGCCATATGAAATAAGCGTTCTGTTGGATTCGAGTTATATATTTAGATTTTATTAAAATTCTTATTTGTTTTATTTTTGTATTTTCATACCATAACACTAAAAATTTTTTACCCAAACTTCGATAGTTGATTAATTGAATAGTTTCTTTTATGCTTGTTGATTTATAAATTATTGCATTTAATCTTTGGCAAGCAAATATTTTGCGTTTATAAATGGAAGAATTGATCAATTTATTACTCCATTGTAAAAAATACTGTTTCAACAGTAAATCTTTGACTTGTATTTTCAAATAAGACAAACGCAAAAAACGCTTTTTTAATGATAATAAATATCTTCTTTTTACATTAGTTTCATTTATCGAAACACATGTAGCAAAACAACTCGATAAATGATTGAAATAATTGATTAACGCTACTAAAGTTTTTTTTTGTAATTTTTGCTCGTATTTAATTTTAATAATGGAGGCAAAGTTTTTTAATTTACATATTAAAATGCTGTACACATTCCAATTATTTAGATTATTTTTAACTTTTTGAATGTTCAACAGTAGGTTTATTACGTTCTTATCGAAAATTTCATTATATATGTAATCTATCTTTCCATTTTCCAACAAATTAATGTATTGATCATCATCATCGTAACCTAACTTGTTTTCTGTGTGGCCGAATAAATCGTTTATAGAGACAATGATATCATTTTTTAAAAGCAGTTTCACCAAATAGTTTAATTTATTTCTATACGTATTGAAATAATAGTTGCTTACACATGTTTCAAAATTTTCACTTAAAGTAGACCTAGCACTATCTATAATGCTGAAATTTAATATTTTTTTCGGACTTAAAAGCATTAAAATAAATTCACAAATATTGATTCTTCGATTGAAATTGTAATCAAGTATTATCTGAAGTTTTACGTATGTCTTGAATACTAGTTTCTTGTCGTGTTTTTGTTTTATTGTTTTATAATAATGATGATTTTTGACAGATTTGGAATACGTTTGTTTCCAATTTACAAAACAGGTATCAATTAATAACTTATTGTGTTTGTCCTTAATCTGTATATAAACTAAGTAAACTTTAGACATGTAACTCCATTTGCTCAAACAGTTTCTTAAAATAAGTTTGTTTTTTAGGTTAAGTGAGTCAAGATTTTTTATTTGATTTTGATATTTCAAGTAAAGTTCATTTTCTGACTTCCAAGCCTTAAAAGTTTTGTACTTTAAGTTTTTGAGGTATTCATCATAGCTTTCGATCTGCAGTTTGTATACTTTTGCAATTTTAACGAAAAATTCTCGAATATTTTTTTGTCGATAAAGGTGTGTCACGACGACAAAGCTATTTTTTAGCTCTTTTACCAAGTATAACTTATGTTTCCAAAACTTGAATTTCTGGGTCAAGAGGAAATTCGTATATTTTTTATAAATTATTTCACTGACAATTTTTTGGTTGTAGAGTATTTTTACATATCTTTTCCAGTGAAATATGTGTAAAGTGCATATCTTTAAATTTAAATAGTCATTCATCACTGCTAGCTTAGATAAAATTAATAGTCTAATCTTAGTTGTCTCCATCCATTGATCGAAGTAATACTTCAACTTTGTTTTAGTTCTTCTAACGATAAATAATTCAAAACAGTTAATACTGCTTTTTTTCTTTTTCATCGCTTCTTCAATCCTATTTTTGTGATTTTTAGTGCTTATTCGCCATTGGTCGATAAATAATTCAGCCAATAAGAAATCTAACCGCTGTAATATTTCTGTTGAAATTACTTTAAGTTTTTTAGCAGTTTGCCACTTCTCAAAATAAAAAAATTTAACCCGCAAATGATACTTGCATAATAGTACCAATTTCATATTTTTTTGTTTTATCTTTAGGTCACACTGTATTTTCCACTTATATAGATATTTAAGCCACTTCCGCCTGTAAATCTCATTGAGCCGGATACATGCTGGTTTCAGCAATAATTCTGTGTCATAATATATGTAAAACTCATCACTTTTGTTAGAATACATAAAAAATTGCAACAGTTCAAATTTTATGCGTAGCTGTGAAGATTTATATGTGCGTGACTGCCAAGATAAAAATGTATTATACAGTAGATTACGATTTTTCAATTGCTGGATCTCCACTTCGTTTTTTCTGACATATTCAGTATATTTTTGTATATGAAAGAACGATCTGGCACATATTATTTTTTTGATCGCATTGTTATTTTCAAGTTTTAACTTCATGAGTAACTTTATCTTCCAATTGCCATTCCATTTGACAAAATACTGCTTTGAAATTGAGGTTTTGTACGCGAATCTTATACGCCTTTGCTTTCTTTTCAGAACCAGTTGTTTTTGCCATATGTAAAAAGTTTTTCCTAAAAACATTTGCCTCGAAATATTTTTTTTAGTTGTAGGCGTATATAAGCGCCAGATCCTCAGTAAGATTTTTATCGTATCTCGTTGCAATAATTTTCTCTTATTCGATGAATAAGCAAGTTTTCTGAAACTTTTGAAAGTTCGTTTAAGTAGATAATGCTTATGAATCGTATCGACTCTGCGATGAAAAGAAATATTTATGAACGTTTGACAAAACTTATTGTAATATCTTCTTGCACTAAGCAATAATATTCTTCTATGAATAAAATACATTTCTTCATTTCGAATGTTTACTAGATATAACCACCAAAGTAAATGAATTTGAAGATTAGAATAAAGTAATTGATCGTTAATATTTACAAGTATTGATTTTTTGTGAGAACATAAAGCGACCGCTCGCCATTTCTTAAAATAATACCCGCAATGTAAATGGCTTATTAATTGAACCGTATGATTATTGACTTTTTTGCATTGAGTTTGCGTGAACTTTTTTCTGGCGTTATATTGTTTATACCAATTTTTAAACGATCGTTGTAGAATACTTTTGTAAATTTTATTTTTTTGGTTGAGCTTGATGACAAAATGCTTTCGCCAGATATTAAAGCTAATATTGAAAATTCGATTCCGTAAATAGTTAGAATACTTTAGTAACTTATATAGGCAGTTTCTGTCTGTTCGGTTTATGTAACCAGATAACTTTTGCTCTGCATATAATAATAGTAATGCTCTATATTGGTTTATATTAATACGTTGATCAAAAAAGAAAACTTCCAAAGTCTCGCCTTTTGGCTTTAAAGATTTTAAAAGAACAGTCGTAAATTCGAGTTCAATTTGAATCAACATCAAAATTTATTGACTTAAATTGATCAAATACATGGAACAGATAAATAACGATTTCTTTAGAAATATTATCGTTTTATTTATTCTAATATTATTCATTAGTAAATAATAACTTTTTAAGCATGGAATCAAAATTTATTCTTGTCATCTCTAAAAGATGATTAGTTTCGATTTTTCTAATGATTTAATCAATTTTATAAAAACATTGACATTCTTACATATGAATCGGCGGGATCATAGCCGAAGATGGTGGTTGATATTGATGGCTTACGTTCGAAAAACAAAACTTGTTCCATATGTCGGTCATAGAAAGGCTATTTTGCGCGGTCTTGTCATCAGTTAACATTTTAATGAATAAGGACTCATAAGCCCCAAATTGAACACAAATAAAAACAGTTTTATTGATGCGTCCTAGATTTTGCATATGCTTAACGATTTTCAGTAACAATTTTGACTCATAATTAATATCTTGTACGTAAGTCATGGCGTAAGGGTGTATGTCTTGAGCGTTTTCAGTGTTAAAGACTGCTTTGAGCCAGTTTTTATTAACATCACGTCCTACCCACATTAATAAATCAATGCAATTACAACATAAATAAACGGTGTTCGCAGATAAAACCATTTGACTTAGCCTGCATGGGATATAATTAAAGGTCTCACTCTCATTATTGCTGTTCAAAGCGTACAAACTCATGATATCAATCATCAAAGGAGTGTAATATAAGAAATTGTACTGAATAGGTGTTGATTTGATTCTGTACCAGATATGATATCTATCATGGGTATTGTACTCGTTTGATTCAGAGAATAAAGGATTTTTGATTGAGTTTGAACAAATAAAAGCAGCTAACTGTAATTTGTTAGATGCATCAATTGGTTTTGTAATATCAGTGCTTGGCGGAATTTTCTGGTAGTGTGCCGAAAGTAACGTCATCAGAGAAGAAAATCGAGCTATTAGTGCGTTGCGACCCTCTACAAGTTTAGAATTTATCGCTTCTGTCATACTTAAAATAGTGATTAAATGAGAAACTGCTTCGACATTTATGCTAGCAGCTATTTGGGCCAGATCTGACGAAGTTTTAAACTTAGAAGTTATAATACGAATTCGTCTGTTTCCATCCGGGGTAGAATATAAAATAGCAAACTGAATCAATAACTCGTCGATACCAGTGTTAGTATCACTTGTTTCTAAACAAAGAGCAATAGAAGTTGAATTAACGATCGAACTAATGCTTATTAGCTCTAATCCGCGAGATTGATAATTACCATAATATCTGTTACTTACCCAACCTGTGCTTATTCTTGCACGTAGAGCAGCTTCCCAACCGGTAATTGATGCGAAATAAGTGCTTAAATCTTTAATCATTTGGTCGTAATGAAGTTGGGGATTAAAGTGCTGATAATAAAATAACTGTCCATTTGTACCACTTGCTAACTCTCCCATGTCGGCAAATCCGGGAATATTTGGCTCATTAGTAGCAATAATGACATCTAAACTAATGTGCTGATGAGGAAGAATAGCTCGTTTTGTTAAACAGAATTTGGAACGTGATCTGAGAATATTGGTAATATCATTACTGTTTTCAAGGGGAATTTGAGAATTAGGTATTTTTTTAATAATTTCTTCGTCAGTTATCGGACTTCCGTGGCACAATATTAATTTTCCACCGTTATGTCCAAAGACTATGCTGCTTGCTGCTATTGCTTTTGATGGATTAGAAGTTTCAACATTTGTATGCATCCAAAGCGCTGGAAGTTCTTCCAATAAAGTAAGAATTTTATCTTTTGAATCAATTAAATTCCATAAGGGTTCTTCGATGGGCAAAAATATTTTAGAACTTTCAGAATTCTGTGAAATAATGTGGACTTTTCCGTTTTTGCGCAAATTATAAAAGTGTAAGCAAGTATCGTATGTCACAATGATAAAGTAACTTCTATCCCTGGCAGATATTAATTCATTTTTAACTAAATAAGTAAACGTATTACAAACCGAGTGAAAGAAACCGCTCCGTACACTTATCGCACTTACATCGATTGCGAGCATGTAGATCGGATTCATTGGAGGACGCGACAAGTAATCTTGAGTTGCAGTATATTCGTAAGCTGAATAATATAATTCTGGCTTATATTCATAATCTAATCTTCGGCCTTGTCTGTTTAAAGGAGAGTAATAATCATTTGGCACATCATTGAGAGTTTTACAAATAGAACATTGCCATTTGACACCATCATGCAAAAAATCACAGTAACAGTTTATATAACTACGGCATTTTTTGCATCGAATTATTGGTGTGCTCGTACACGATTGAACGCAAGGCAGCTGAACATTTTCTGGTGAGCAATTGAAAAGCACTGCGAAAGGAATTCCCATCTTTGATTTTAACGTGTGAGAATTTGGAAAGACAGTTGCTGTTGGAGTAATGAAATACTGGGCTGTATCCACAATTGATGTGTTTTGACTTTGAACAGGCTGGGTAACATAAGAGTTGTATTTTTCGCCACCGGGTAAGTCTTGCGATAAGAGACCATTGTCGGATATCATGGTTTCGTTATATCCATGCGCCGTTTCCTGTGCAGCATAATTAGCGTATGAATATTGGTTTGAAAATTGACCTTGGTATTGTTGAGCCTCAAGATTCGCACTGGCTTGATCAAAATAACCTCGGGCCTGCATCTTCTACATATGAAAATAAAAATATCAAACTAAATCCAAACACACTCAGAATTCAATTTAATAAGTGGAAAATGCGTGCTATTCCGATTTAGGATTTTTAGAAATATTTGTCGATTGTTTATAATGATAAGTTTTTTAGAAAAAAACAATATTTCATAAATCGGCCAATAGACGGCTCACACCTCCACTACTGTACTTGTTAATGCTAATTCATTTTAATACATTATTTAGAAGTTTAACAGTTATAGATACTTTATTTTGTATGTAACGAAAGAATGAAATGTTCCATCTGTGGAAACAGTAAACTGCTTCTCGACGAATCAGGTTACTATATGTGTCAGCTTTGTGGTACTATTTGCGAGTCTTGGCGAAAGATCGAGCGAGAAACAGTTGATGAAATTAACGATTTTGCTACTCAAGGCAAAAAAATGTACCATACTGTGATAAATGTTACCAAAACCAATGAAAAAAATAAAAAAATTGAAAAAATAATCAATTCTCTTCCTGCACATTTATCTGGAAGAATTGACACACAAACTTTATTGATTATTTTTAAACTTCAAAAAGAACTCAAAAGTTTTTTTGAAAATAAGTTACTTGACTATTATGGTTGTCATGATCTTTCTTACAAATTGGAAGAAAGAACCAGAAGGATTTGGCAGTTATTTATTACGCAAGAATTATTGTCGAAAAACACAAATCTTTTTGAAAATTTAAGTGAAACGATCCAACAAGTTTCTTTATCAATAGATCCTAAAAAAAATTTTTATCAATACATTAAAGATCAAAAATTCAGAGACTTTGTAATTGGCAAAAAAGCTTCTATCTTTGATTTGGTAAAAGGACATATCGATCAGTTTTTAGACAAAGAGTTAACTATTGAAAGTGACAGTGAAACAATATTTGTAGTTGATCATGATGATGACCGACAGCCAAATGAACCAATAGAGTCGCTGTTAGACCCGAACGATGATTTAAACACAAATACTAGTTATAGATTGTCTAACAGTTTACTTAAGGAAGTAATAAAATCTAGACATCTCACTCTCAAAATGATTGTAAAACAAATATTTTTGCCTTTCATCGACAAGAATATTAAAAATAACCCTAATTCAAAAATAGTTGAAAATAGTACCTTGTTAGTAACTTTTTTGATCTTTACATTCAGTGAGTTTTGTTTACTACAAGCTGATTATTTATTTGAAAAATACGGTATCCAGGTAGATTTTGGAGTTGATAATTCATTATTTAAAAATGCCTCTGAAGAAAAAAACTTAAAGTTATTTGAAAAGTTGATATTGGTTCTTGTTGGTGAAGAAGCTATTAAAAATTATTACTCAAGTTGCATTTTTAAACGTTCATGTCTTAGTTTCTCTTGCCTGCCCATCGCTGTTGTTCTTTTATCAGCTATCACCCTGAATGTACCTCTTTGCGCTGCTGACTTGCTTAGATTCAAAGTGAAAGGACGATTTCATAATGTAGCCATGGATGAAGTAAACAAAAATGAACAGTTAGCAAATTTAAAATTGTATTTTTATTTACCTTTGGCGAAGTATATACTAAAATGTGTTTACCTTGTTAATAATGTTATAGCCCAGCTTCCTGCAAAGGCTAGCTATGAAATACTAGATGCAAAAAATTTTCGCGTTTATCTGAAATCGTTATTGTATCGAGGAATAATTAAAGCATTGTTGCCTGAAGAAGTTTACTGTGTGGCGGTTGTGCTTTTAAATTTATGCTTAGACGTGGAAAACTTTGTTCCAAGTTCTGTAATTAGAAAGTCTGTTTTTGAATCTTTTACGTTACTTTCGGGAATTATAGTTTGCACTTGTAGAATAGTCTTTTGCCAAATGCGACATGTTAGTAAATGTGATTGGGGTGATACAAAATCAAACTTTACTTTATGGCCAGACTTTTTAACAAATTTAGTATTAAAATTCGAAGATCCTTATATAGATCTAGATTTGCAATCAATTGCTAATGTCTTTTCGACTGAAAGCATTGATGCTCCTAAATTATTACATTCGAAGCAGGAAACGCAAGAAAATCTGAGTAAACAAATACTCAACAATAAAAATATGTTTCTGAAGTTACCAGTAAAAACGGACTTAAGTGAACTTGCTCCATTCGAAATTGTTCGGCAATCGGTTGACTGCTATATTAACGGTTTTCTTCTTGGCAAAGTATGCTTAGCTGAAGATCATAATTTATTTTTGGAGAACGATGAAAAACAGAATTTCAGGCATCTCTACCAACAAATACCGCTAGGGGTTTCTGAAGTGTCAATGAATTCCAGTATTCTAACAAAAAAAATTCATCCAAGTTTACGACTAGTTATTCGCAGATTGTCTCTGTTTTTTAATGTTCCTGAACTTTCAATAATTCAGTGTTGCAGGATTATAGAAAAAAATTTTACAGTTTAAACTTGAAGAACACGATTATAAGTATTATAAAAGCTATAAAAGTATACCAACTTTCTATTATCGAGTTGATAAAGTCTTTTATTATTGAAACTAGTAGTTTGTTTATGATTACCAATTTTGCTTCAGGTCTTCGAAATTTTTCCGTTTCTAGCTGAAGTTGCGAGCAACGGTCTATCAAGTCAATAGGAGGTCCTAGGTGGCAATAGTTAGATTCGAATTTCATTTGAGCAAGTTTTGCTAATTCGCGCCTTTTAAATGATTCTTCGTTTATATACACAAGTATTGACTGGTGCGTGGCTCGCAAAAAAATGAACAACAGATAAAAAATAAGAATACCGATTATTATAACGTATAGCCAATGTTTGACTTGGTGGCTTTTCTCAAGTAGTCCCGGAGTTTGAACAGGCGAAACGAGTCTTCTGATTTTTTCAGATCCATCGCTCATCTTTTCAATGTATTCTTCTAAAACAACCGGATATGAAGTAGTAGGCTGAGGAAATCCCAGCGGTTCAGTTATTGTGTAGTGCTTTCTAACCTTGGGAGATGGTTTAGACACTTTTGCCGGCTCAACTTCCTTTTTTTCCGGTTTTATTGTTTTCTCATCAAGTTTTTGCCAATCGACATACTTCAACCCAAAGCTTTGGTTGGAGTTCGAACATGGTACAATGTCATCGTTTTTCATAAAAAGTTCGTTGCTTTAGAAATAAGAACATTTGTCGGTACCGTGGAATCAAACGAAGTTCATGCAGGCTCAATAAATGTTTAATTTTTTCTATTTATATTATCTAAATATTATAAACTATTGCTTAATTCAGTTTTTTTAGTTTCGCAAAAAACAAATACGAAGTGTGTTAAATCCGATTTTCGAACTTTATTTACTGGTTCGTTCATGATTTAAAAGTATTATGGTTTCGAAGACGTCAAGAGTTTCGGGTAACAGCAATTCGAAAACCCAAAACAAGTCTTCAGCTCAGGTTAAAACAACCAATGTGTGGAACTATATCAACGAAAGGTGGGTTTGTTCAAAGGACCCGGCCAGCAACGACGAAGAGCCAATAGCGACAATGTTTGAATTTCAATTGGTTGGTTTACTAGATTTTTTCGAACAGCCTGACGCTGAACAGCACGTAACGGATTTAGGAGTTAGCGAATCGACAAATAATTCTGTCTTATGGAACTTCGAAAACACGAAAAAGCTAATTTATTTTGTGAAACAATATGGCACAAATTGGCCGTTAATTAATGATCGAATGCTAAAATATCTTACGCAGCCAGACCTGAAGATTGGTTTAAGTCAGCGCACACAGCTACAATGCGTTTGTGGTGCTTCAATGAATGTGATTCTAGATAACCAACTTGCTTCAACAACTCCCGACTGGCGAAACTGCGAACTCAAAGATAGGTTTTTTTTTATTTTAAATAACGTTCCTACGAAGGAACAGAGGTATAACTATTCCGGGCTAGCCGACAGTTACCATAAGCAAGTTATCTACGACAAGTACAGTTTAAACCTGAGCGAATGTGACAAAAACATTCGAGCTATAATTAGCAAACTCCAGAACACGATCAACCAATTCAATCTGAAACACAACCTTACCGAGTCTAAGTTCTTCTCCGACATCAAAGCCAACCAGATGCAATCGCAAAACTACCCAAAGCTGGCGAACATAAATTCCACGGACTTAGTTTCGTTCTCCGACATTTTTTCTAGCTTGTTCAAGAATAACAGTTGCGTGCTTGTCAGCTCTTTAGAGGCATCTTGTGCAGAC